TGATTGGCCGAATTTAGGTGTTCAGGCTGACGTAGAACTCACTGGCCTGCAGAAGATAACGGAAAAAAACATAGATTTTAAGATTTTCAAAATTTTGTAACAATATGGTCTGATAAAGAGAACATTTATACATGTTTAAGCCAGAATGATTTGAATTTTAAATATGATTTCCCTACGTCTTTAAATAACCTGAGGAAAACATACTCGGTTTGCTCTGGTTAATTAACGTAAAATCACAGATGTTATTTTTCAAAAGCTGCTCGGTTTAAATAACGTGAAAGTAGGTCTTAAATCTGTCGGGATGTAATATTTTAGGCTAAATTAATATTTTCTGTTTGATTCCTATAGACATGTGAAGGTAGACTCGTCGGTGGCGCTTTAGTGAAGAATGAGGAACTCCTCTGAATGTTGCTCTCAGATGCTAAAGAGGCGCTCCATTGTCTAGCCTGACCCCCCCCCAGGATCCAGAGCAGAATGAGACATATTTTAGAAGCAGCACAACGGGCTCTCAGTCCAGCCGCCGCTGCCCTGTAACCACTCTGTGTTGTGGGACGAAGGCTGCGTCAGAGGATGGCACTGAAAACATGCCTGGTGTTCAACAGACACACAATTACTTCTATATACTCCCCGAGTGACTTCACTCTGCCGGGTTCTACTGCTGTAACAGACTGACCTCGCACCTCAGCCATCGCCTCGTCATGTTTCCTCCTGGTGTTGGCCTCAGCTTCCTGTGCGTGTGTTCGCACATCAACCTCAACCACCTGTACCTCAGACTTACCAATAAGGTCTCCGCTGCAGCTACAAAGCCTGAAATACTGAAAGTCAATAACGAACTGAGCTGGCGCAGCATGTGGTGAGGCGGTGGACAGCAGGCCTGCTCAGAATGACAATTATTATGTTGTTTAAAATTTTGAAAAATGTAACTTTCATTTTCATGAATAAGTCATCAGAACAGAACATTTTCCACTAATTAGCTACATCAAATGTTACGTTTAGCATGGAGAACCCGGTAAATTAAGCCGACACTTTATGAAGTTTTAAGGTTTTATTGAAAAGGCTGAGGATTTTGCAGAAAGGGGCAGGCAGGTCCTGAAGGCACTAAGTGAGAGTTCAGGCTGAGGCAGACCTGAACCAGACTAACCGACAGCCCCAGGCTAGACTTCAGTGGTGAGAAAGGAGTAGACAGGGCTCTAATCTGCAAAAAAGATCTGCAGTGATGAACCTGCAGTGATGGTCAGGCACGGCTTGGAGCTAACCAGAAGGTCAGAAGTGGCCTGCAGCTGTCCAGAAGGTCAGGCGTGGCCTGCAGCTGTCCAGAACATCAGAAGTGGCCTGCAGCTGTCTAGAAGGTCAGACGCGGCCTGCAGCTGTCCAGAAGGTCAGACGTGGCCTGCAGCTGTCCAGAAGGTCAGGCACGGCCTGCAGCTGTCCAGAAGGTCAGACTTGGCCTGCAGCTGTCCAGAACGTCAGAAGTGGCCTGCAGCTGTCCAGAAGGTCAGGCACGGCCTGCAGCTGTCCAGAAGGTCAGACGTGGCCTGCAGCTGTCCAGAACGTCAGAAGTGGCCTGCAGCTGTCTAGAAGGTCAGGCGTGGCCTGCAGCTGTCTAGAAGGTCAGACGCGGCCTGCAGCTGTCCAGAAGGTCAGACGTGGCCTGCAGCTGTCCAGAAGGTCAGAAGTGGCCTGCAGCTGTCTAGAAGGTCAGGCGTGGCCTGCAGCTGTCTAGAAGGTCAGACGCGGCCTGCAGCTGTCCAGAAGGTCAGGCACGGCCTGCAGCTGTCTAGA